TCCATCCATCCATCTATCCATCCATCCACCCACCCACCCATCCACCCATCCATCCACCCCTCCATCCACCACACATCCATGCAGTGGGGAGACATAGAGTACCTGTCTGTTAGGAGACAGAGACAGAACCCTGACGAGACCCAGGCCTAGCTCCTGAGCTCACACTCAGCAGAGAACACGTCCCCCCAGTGGGCACTAAAAGACCACACTCAGGTGAGCAGATGTGTGCAGGGCTGGAGCCCCCTCTGCCAGGGTGGGTTGAGCTGGGTAAAGAAGGGAGAAGAGGCCAGAGAGCTCTTTTGCCTGGGCCCAGGGGTGCTGGCTTATCTGGCACAGGTTCCTGTGTCAGCAATGTCATGTGGGTCCCCCCATCGGTGGCCGGTTCCCGGCCCTGGCCACCCCGGCAGGGCTGCTCCGTGCGTCCTCACCTGTGACAATGGCTGGGATGCCCCAGCCCACGACGTAGTAGAACCGCATGGGCCCGGCATCGATGTTGCGCACCTCGGTCAGCATGCGGTAGACGTGCAGGCTCTCCACGAAGGTCCAGGCGAAGGTGCTCATGTAGACGTAGTGCAGGACGATGGCAACCACCGTGCACAGGAACTGCCGAGAGAGGAGAGGAGCGGCTCAGTGCCAGCGCCCCGGGCCCGCCCCTGCACCCAGGGCTGAGGGCGAAGGGGCGCCGGGCAGGAGGGAAGTCACCAAATCAGCCACTTCCCAGATGTGAGGGTCTGTAGGTCTGAATGAGGAAACTGAGTTAACTGGTTTTTGTATTAGATTCGCCCAAGGGTAGTTGAGCACCAACGGTCACGCAGTCTCAGCTCCCCTTGTGGAACAGGGGCCCCTCCCCAGCCTGATCGATGCCATGAGCCGGCACAGCCTGGGGACAAGAGGTGGGGAGAGCCTCCAGTGTTTGCAGTAGGAGCTGGAAATCGGCATTTTCATGTCGTGGTTCCAAATTTTGAAATGCTGGCATTTCAAGTTCAGTATTGCAAAGGTGGCCTGCTCAGGGAGAAGGCCCCAGACCGTGATCTTGACCTTGGCCTACAACCCCTGACCCTCGACCTCAAGCAGGTGTCCCAAGGTCCAGTGGGTGCGGCCAGAGGGAGGGAGGAGCTTCATGCGTGTGACCTCAAGGCAAACAGAAGCAAGTCCATGGTTCCTGCCCTGACTTAGTGGAGGCTTCTGTCTCTGCCAAAGGCTGAACAGGCATGAGGGTGTCTGTTCTGCATCTGTTCTGTGCTGGGTGGGTGTTCCCAGCTGGTGGCCAGGTCCCAGGAAGAGAAAGTCAACTTCCGGGCCAGCTGAGGGACCGCATCCGGCCCTTGGGGCCTTGGTGAGCCAGCCTGTGTCCCTGGACACAGAAGGGCGCGTGAGAACGGAGGAAGGCAGTGGCGGGGAGGGGCTGGGGACACTGTGGGGTCACAGGGAGTCCAGCCTCTGAGGCTGTTAGTGAAACCCATTCCCAGGTGCTCTAGGGCTCAGCCATGCGCTTCCGCCTGGAACAGCCTCACCCAGCTCCTGAGGCAGGTCCCTGGGAGAGTCAGGCCGGTTCCCCACCAGGTCCTAGAAAGGTGGGCTGGCAGGGTGGGCCAGGGGTGCACTGAGGGGAGCCCAAGAGAAAGCCACGCCCCACAGCTGAGCCCCACCTCCGACCACACCCACAGCTGAGCCCCACCTC